TCAACTAGTGCAAACTTTTTAAAATCCTCTTTAAAAGACCCTTAGAGCAGCCTAGTCAGTTTAGTTCAGGGATAGAGCATCAGCCTGGGGACTGAAGGGTCCTGGTTCGATTCTGGGAAGGGCACATGCCCAGATTGCGGGCTTGATCTCCAGGAGGGGATGTGCAAGAAGCAGCCAATCAATGATTCTCTCTCATTATTGACGTTTCTATCTCTTTCTCCCTCTCCCTTCCTCTCTGAAATCAATAAAAATATTTAAAGAAGATAAAAAAGAAAAGACCCCTAGAGCAGATCATCAGTAATGGTTTGGACAGCCCTTTTGACATTTTCAAATATCAAATACACCCCTCTTTTATGACTGTGGAAATACTCTACTGAAAATCAGGAGTTCAACAAAATGAATCAAGGAAATATTCTACTCACTCAAGGCTTTGACTTTATACATTCTGTTTCAATATCCATTTAACAAATTATTAAGTGTATACTTCAATGCTAGGTATGACCAGCAGTCCCTGAACGATGGATGAACAGATTACTCTGACACAAGTTTCTGTGAAAGAGAAGGTTAAGGGGCTTGTTTGGCATTAGGTACTAAAATAGCACCGATTGCCTGCCTGGTTAGCTTTTTATTGTAACAACAACTTGAACTAAAATTAACCTCTAGATACAATAAGCAGGGTAAACTTCCTTGAGAAAGAACATGCTTCTACAAGGTCGGGTCTTTAAAGACTAAACATAGAGATTCTAGCAAAACACCCGAGTGATCGGACTTGTTTGGAAAAGTCAAGGTAAGGGTTGCCACCTTCGGCAAGGTCCCCGTCAGAGACCCCCGACCTTTCAGAGAATCCTCCTTGCAGACATTCCAGCCAAGTCCTGTGCTTCCCCACATTTCAAAGTGTCTCTAGCTTTGGGCCTAATGTGTAAAAACCAAGGCTATAAATATGCCACTGTCCTTGTTCTTTAATCATGTTTAAATGACTGCACATATGTGTGTTCTCATTTCTATCACAAGGATTTCAGTAAGATAAAGCATTTCTGTCTGAAATCAATAAACAAATTGTTAAGATCAATTTCACATATAAAGGAACTGCAGTACTGCCATTTTGACCCATAAATCTCTTAAGATAGTACATATTATCAATAATGCCTTTTATGCATCTTATATTAACATATGTTTAATATCTTTAGCTGGTTTTGCTCAGTGGATAGAGCATTGACTTATGGACGGAAAGATTCCGGGTTTGATTCCAGTCAATGGCACATGCAGTTTCGGGCTGGATCTCCAGGAGGGGGCACGCAGGAGGCAGCCAATCAATGATTCTTTCTCATCATTGATGTTTCTATCTCTCTCTCCCTCTCCCTCTCCCTTCCTCTCTGAAATCAATAAAAATACAAAAAATAATAAAGTATGTTTAATTGAGGCTTCTATTCTATAAAAGACAACAATAGCCACCTTGATGAGTGCTTACTACATACCACAACCTGTACTAATACATTCCTGGGAAGTATGTTGACCCATTCTACAGGTGAGGAAATTAAGGTTGTGGAAGGGTCTCCTGTGCAAATGACTGGGAGCCCCACTCTATACCACCTCTTCATAAAGCATGGAAAATATTGTTCCAATCTCTGTGTCTTAATCATTCAGGGCTAGAAAGAGTTAATTTACAGAAAAATACAAAGGATCTAGAAAGTATTTGAGACTCCTGCCCATCTCACTACACACTGGAGTATTTCATTGAGATAAGAATTATGCTTGAGAAAGAGCAGAGTCTCTTGGGCATTTCTCTCACATACCTGAGTTCTGCATGGGTCTACAAGATTGAGCTGAGAGGGGTAATTGTGGACCATAAGAACATGCAAGAAGAAAGTGCTGAAAATTGCAGACCGCTATTGCTTAAGTCAAGCCTAAAAGCCAGGAAGCATGGCAGCCCCTATGGGGAAATCCACCGGTTATATCCTGTTCCCTCAACAAAGGATAATTGCCTTTAAGTCAGTTATTAAACTGACTTAAAGGCTGGGTAGCCTGGTACAGGATTTCTACACAATTTCCTCCCCTGCAGGGAGCATTGCACAGCAACCTGAGTCATAGATGTCAAGATAGACTGATATGAATAGTTTTCTACACACTGGCCATTCCTTGGGTTTGAAGCTCTTTTTATTAAACTTTAGAGCAATGCACAAAAGAGTCTTTTCTGCTGTGGATTTAAGTGGGTGAGACTGGGGAGGAAAACACTCTGGTAAATAATTATTCTGGAACACTATGCAAATGTCTCACCTCCTGAGCCCTGAAGTGGGGTGGAATGGGGAAGCAACGTGAATGTGACTGTCATCTAGAGGTGAGGTGTTGAAAGAAGCCTGATGGGGAGAGGAGAGGGAGTGGTTCCTGACAAATGCCTCTGTGGTTTGTGCTGACGTGTATACCTGGAGTGGGTGCAGGTGAGCCCAAGGGTAAATTCTAGGAGGCATACCTCTGTGGGTGGTCAAGGTGGACTCTCCCTGTGCCTAAACTAGTGAGCTCTAATAAAGTAGCTTTTATTATCTCTTGGGGCCAACTTGTAACTGAATAGGTAGATAGCAAACACTCCAGTAAGTCTCTTTGCAAGCTCATGCCTTTGGCCACCAGAGTGGACGGCTGGGTCGTCCCCAGGGCTGTCACTCAGTGGATTCACTGCTGACATGGCTCACTGGTTCCACTTCATGGGATCAATCGACACCCCTTCTGTGCTGCTACATATTGTTTACTATCAGTCCTCAGTACCACCCCACTGTCCCTACAGAGGAGAGGGTGGGCCCAAGCAGCACCATCTACCAACTGACAGGCCATTGCCTCTGATGTTCCAGTCCCTCCTGTCCCCTAGACTGTCCCCCTTCCCATCCTGCTCTGCTGCTCAGCCTGACCTCCTCGACCCTGGAGCCTTGTTTCTGAGCAATGTCTGCTCAGACTAAGCACTCTTGTTCCTCCCAAGAAGTCCATCTTGCCTTTGACAGCCCTGGTCTCCCCTGGCCTGGTCCTGGTTCCCTGTCATTTTTCCTTCTTAGTGTGGACAAGCAGATTTTCTTCTACACTCATGCAGCCCAAACAACAAGAACAGTTTCAGACCCCCTGAGACTGTTATGCACATTTTGCCATCTTTCCTCCCAGTGCATCATGGCAGAGACACAGTGTCTAGGCTTATTCTATGTGTTCTATCGATAACTCAGTCAAGGAGAGAGATTTGGACAAACTTTTCAACCCATGCTTTTCTTGTTCTCACTATCCTGGTTTCTAAATCCTCAAAACACAGTGACCAGGCCTGCTTACCCAAAAAAACTACATCGAACAACAATGGGGTTCAAGATGTTCTGAACTGAGGAGGGTAAAGAATTCTGTCCCTCAAATAATGACAGGGTTTCTCAGGCCTCAAAGGTGATGAGTTTACTACTTCTGACAAACTCACACCCTCTCAGACATATTTCCTTTTAAAAAACTTATTATGATGTAGTTAACTAATGGCTTAGAAAGTTTCCCTGGAGAACCCTGATTGTAGAAGACACTGATGGTGCAAGCAGAGCTGGTTGAAAATGGGCCAGCTGGTGATCCTAGCCCAGTGCAGGCTCCGTAAGTCACACATAAAGTAAATGCAATGACAGTTCTAACGAGATTAGTCAACAACAAAAACTTTGAATTATCTAAGAAGACATTTCAAATGTGGCTGTATATGCACTGTCTTTAAGGATGAATGGAACCCTACCTGTTAGCTTGACATGATCACTGATTAAATATCTGAATGTATTATCCTATCTAATAAGCTAATAAAGAGGGAATATGCTAGTTGACCCTCACACCACCACAACGATGGTGGCACCCACAGCCAATAAGGAATGAATATGTTAATTGACTGCTTTGTTCTCAAAGATGGCAGAGCCCACAGCCAATAAGGAGGGAATATGCTAAGTGACTGCCATCTTTGGTGGTGCCCACAGCCACAAGATGGCAGCGCCCAGTCCCCTTACCTGCTCCAAGGCACCTGCCTCTGGAGTCCCCAGTCCCCTGAGTCCCCCAGGTACCCAGGGCAAGCCTAAGGAGCAGGCAAGCCTCAGATGGTGGCTGCCCAGCCACCCAGGGCTGCCCAAAGCTCAGGTAACCAAAGCCAGCCACAGCTTGTGCTGCTGGCAGTGGCAGCAGCAGAGGTGTGATGGGAGTGTTGCCTTTCCCTGATTGCTGGGTCGCCTCCCACCTCTGAGGGCTCCCAGACTGTGAGAGGGGGCAGGCCGGGCTGAGGGACACTCCCCTCCCCCTCCCCCTCTCCAGTGCATGAATTTTCATGCACCTGGCCTCTAGTTACTAATAATATTTAAAATTGAATGTTAGGAGACAGCTAATTAGCAGAAGACAGCTAATCACGATTGTTTCTATCTCTCTCTCTCCCTTCCTCTCAGAAATCAATAAAAATATATTTTAAAAAATAAAATAAAATTTTAAGTTACTTTGTATTTATATTTAACTTATTTAATTTTACTTTATGTGTTTATAACATACCTATCCATCACTAATTAATTAATAATACACATACATTGTGGTTTGTGAACAAAACTTTGGTACACTGATAATGGTGTGAAATTAAAAAGGCGTTAGGAGAAAAAAAACGGTGCTAGAAGAGCACAGGTTCAGGTCACAGGGAGCCTGTTTGGTTCACAAACTCTTGGAGATAAAAATTTCATCACCCCAACCTTACCCTGTACTACTTATGTTCACTGGCTCTTCAAAACCTGCATCACAACGCTTCCACCAGCATCAAAATAATTAAAAACAGTTTTTGAAGGATCAAAGCCCAATTATAAACAGTGGGAAGCAGACTGGTGTGCTAGCCTCTTTTTTTGTAACTGACATTTCAATAGCCTGCTAAACCTACTAGCTGCACTGCCTTCTTTTCTATTCAAACCTGGAACAGCCTTAACAGAATCTGTTGGCCTATCACTCAAAAGAAGAGCTTTGTACCAAGTGAGCTGAATCAATTCATAGTGCTCTATTTGGCAGCGCGCATATGAAAACTAGAAAGATAGAGAGATTAACATGGCTCCTGTGCAAGGATGACATGAAAATTCAGCTAGGGCCAGTTTGCATTTCTTCTATGCTCAGTCCTTTTCCTATATCAAAGTGTTTGTGTTCATTTCATTGATTTAAAAGAGTTCTTTAGCCTTGTCGCGTGCTGTTCTCTGGGTAAAGCATGGACCTGAGCACTGAAGGTCACAGGTTCAATTCCTGCTCACTCCCATCTCCAGTGGGGACACGTGCTGGAAGCAACAATCTATGTGTCTCTTTCACATTGATGTTTCTCTCCCCTACACTCCCTTCTACTACCTCTGAAAAAGCAGTGGAAAAAATATACTCTGGTGGGGATTGACAAAAATAAAAAATAAAAAACAATAATAAAAGAGTTCTTTAGATATGAATAATTTTAATACTTTCTCTTTTAATATTGGGTATATATTTTCATTTGTTTGATTATTAGAAGTTTTACATTTTTATAAGCAAATCTGTTGATGTTTTATTTTGTGGTTTCTTCCATTATTTCCCTATCTTAAAATTATTATATTTCCTTTTCTATTAATATGTTTATTAACATATTTTTATTGATTTCTGAGATGAAGGGGGAGGGAGAGAGTGATAGAAACATCAATGATGAGAGAGTATCATTGACTGGCTGCTTCCTGCACACCCTGTACTGGGGATCAAGCCCACAACCTGGGCACATGCCCTGACAGGGAATTGAACCGTGACCGCCTGGTTCATAGATTGATGCTCAACCAGTGAGCTATGTCGGTTGGACACCATATCTCCTTTTTTGTTTGTTTGTTCTTTGTATATTGTAAGAGGTAACATATAATACCATTCCTCCACTAATTTGTAATACCTCCACCATCTTACATCAACTTCTCAGGCAAACATGCATTTGATTTCTATTCCTTTTATTTTTTATTCAATACCACTGTGTTTTAAGTGCTATACCTGCATAATAATTTTTTACTGGAATTTCACTGAACCTAGAGATTTATTTTTGTATAATTTATATCTCTTTAATATTGCTCTCTACAATAATAAAAACCTGGTCCATTTCTCTACTTACTTGGACCTTCTGCCTTTCAATAATATTTTATAATTAATCTAATAAAGTTCTTGCGCATTTTTATTTTAGTTTGAAGTATTTTATAGTTTGATTGTGATTTTGTTTGTTTGTTTTTTTACTCAAAAAAAAGGTATTAAGGATTTTTCTCATATAGAAAAACTTAAAAATAATCACTCTCCAAAGGTTGTCTTGGCCGGAAACATTTTTACCCTAAAAACAATTTTAGATAAAAGGGAGCTCCACTTATCTTTGCCAGTTATTTACTAACTTCTGTTACTATAAATGCATTTTTTTCCAGACCATTCTTTTCCATTTGTTTATTTGGCTAATGATGCATGTGGTAGGCAGTACTAACAGAGCTAGAGAACTCAATTGTCATTCATAACACCTGTAAGGGCTGAGTAAATCATAACACATTGTAAGGGCTCAGTAAATGTTTGCTGAATTTGTTGAATACAGGTGTGTTTTAAAAAAATATTTATAAAAATTAACATTATAAATTCATTTTATTAATGGAAGAGAAGGCACGACATCCTCCGAAAATAAGACCTACTTTCAGGTTTCCTTCTGAGTGAAATATAAGGCATCCCCAGAAAATAAGGCCCCCCTAAGCTCTGTCTCAGAATGCTATTGCTAAACATGAGAGATTTGGTCCACTGATTCTGAAAGAAATGGAGTCACAGGAAATTCAGGAATTGGATTGTTATGATGATGTTCCAGAAGATGATGACATAATTGTCATTGAATAAATGAGTAAATTCTTGGTACTGTAGGATTCACAGTTTGTCTGGTTTGTGTTGACAACTACCATACTACTGTACCATATACAGGTAATAAATTTCCTTTGAACAATAAATGTGTACCGTATTCTTCTTCATGGAAAAATAAGACATCCCCTGAAAATAAGACCTAGCGCATCTTTGGGAGCAAAAATTAATATAAGATACTGTCTTATTTTCGGGGAAACAGGGTACAACAAACACTAAAAATTTATATGGAACCAAAAAAGACCCCAAATAGCAACAGCAAATTTTTAAAGTTTTTTTCTTTTAACATATCTTTATTGTTGAAAGTATTTACAGATGTCCCCTCATTTTTCACCCCATTGACCCCTTCCTCTTCACACCACCCCCCCTCAGGCCTTCACCACACTATTGTATATATGGATTATGCATGTATGCATATAAGTTCCCCAGTTAATATCTCCTCATACTATCCCCTACCTCCACCTTCCCTCTGAGATTCCTCAGTCTGTTTCATGCTTCTATGTCTCTGGATCTACTTTGTTCATCGGTTTGTTTTGTTCATTAGATTCCACATATGAGATAATCTGATACTTGTTTTTCACTGACTGGCTTATTTTGCTTAGCAAAATACTCTCCAGGTCCCTCCATGCTGTCTCAAAGGATAAGAGATCCTTCTTTTTTTATAGCTGCATAGTATTTCATGGTATAAATGTACCACAATTTTTTCAGCCATTCACCTACTGGGTTGATTCCAGATGTTAGCTATTGAAAATTGTGCTGCTATGAACATAGGGGTGTATATATTTTTTCTGACTGGTATTTTGGGTTTCTTAGGATATATTCCTAGAAGTGAAATCACTTGGTCAAATGGAAGCTCCATTTTTAATTTTTAATTTTTCGGGTAAACTCCATACTGTTTTCCACAGTGGGCTTGTAATCTTGAGAAAGAAGAACAAAGTTGAAAGGATCACAATATCAGATATCAAGTTACTAGAGATCTGGTGCATGAAATTTGTGCACAGGGGAGGGTGGTGTGGATGTTCCTCAGTTCAGCCTGCACCCTCTCCAATCTGGGACATCCCTCTCACAATCCAGGACTGCTGGCTCCCAACTGCTCACCTGCCTGCCTCCCTGATTGCCCCAACTGCTTCTGCCTGCCAGCCTGATCACCCCCTAACCACTCCCCTGCCAGCCTGATTGATGCCTAACTGCTCCCCTGCCAGCCTGTTTGCCCCCCTACTGCTCTCCCCTGCAGGCCTGGGTCCCCCCCCCCCCCAACTGCCCTTCTCTGCAGGCCCAGTTGCCCCCAACTTCCCTCCTCTGCCAGCCTGGTCACCCCTAACTGCCCTACTCTGCAGGCTTGATTGAACCCAACTTCCTTCCCTTGCAGGCCTGATCCCTCCCAAGTGCCCTCCCCTGCTGGCCATCTTGTGTCTACATGGGGGCAACCATATTTGACCACATGGGGCAGCCATATTGTGTTGGAGTGATGGTCAATCTGCATATTACTTTTTTATTAGATAGGATAGAGGCCTGGTGCACAGGCCAGCTGGTTTGCCCTGAAGGGTGTCTCAGATCAGTGTGAGGGTTCTCTTGGGGCATGGGGCAGCCTGGGAAAGGGGCCTGTGATGGTTTGCAGGCCGCCCCCCCCCCCCCCCCCCCCTGTGACCCAAGCAGAGGCCTGGGATCTGGGATTTATTTATCTTCTAAAATTGAAACTTTTTAGCCTTGAGCAGAGCACTGGGCCAGCCAGGGTATGCAGGAAGCTTGGCTTCCTCCATTTCCAGAGAAACCTAAGCCTCTTGTTCTCTCCATGGCCGCAGCCATCTTGGTTGGGTTAATTTGCATATTTCCTCCTCATTGGCTGGTGGGCATGGCTTGTGGGTATAGCAGATGCACTGTCAATTTGCATATCATTCTTTCATTATATAGGATATTACAAAGCCATTGTTCTCAAAATAGCCTGTTACTGACACAAGAACAGGAATATAGACCAAGAAAAGAGAACCAACAAATTAACCCAAGCCATTATGCTCAATTAATATTTGACAAAGGAGGCAAGAGCATACAATGGAACAGAGACAGTTTCTTCAGTAAATGATGTTGGGAAAATTGGACAGGTACAGGCAAAAAAAATGAAACTAGACCACCAACTTACACCATAGACAAGAATAAGCTAAAAATTGATAAAAGACTTAAGTGTGAGTCTTGAAACTATAAAAATATTAGAAGAAACTATAGGCAGCAAAATTTCAGTCATTTCTGATAACACTATATTTGCCAATACAACTCCTAGGGCAAGGAAAACTAAGGAGAAAATAAACAAATGGGAATAAATCAAACCAAAAAACTTTTGCACAGCAAAAAAAAAAACCCATAAATCAAGTGAAAAGGCAGCCCACTGTATGGTAGAACATATTCTGCAATGATACATCTGATAAGGAGTTAATTTCCAAAATATATAAGGAACACAAAACACCTTAACAAAAGGCAGATAAACAAATTTTAAAAATGGACAAAAACCTAAATAGACACTTCTCCAAAGGGGACATACAATGACCGAGAGACATGAAAAAATGCTCAAAGTCATTCATCATCCAGAGATGCAAATTAAAATGACAATGAGGTATCACCTCACACCTATCAGAATGGCTACCATCAACAAATCAATAATTGACAAGCAGTGGTGAGGTTGTGGAAAAAAGGGAATCATAGGACACTGCTGGAGGGAATGCAGACTGGTGCAGCTACTGTAGAAAATAGTATGGAGTTTCTCCGAAAAATTAAAAATGGAACTGCCATTTGATCCAGTGATTCCACTTCTAGGAATATATCCTAAAAAAACAAACAAAAGAATATATGCACCCTTATGTTCATAGCAGCACAATTTACAATATCCGAGGTCTGGAAACAGCCCCAGTGCCCAGCAGTAGGTGAGTGGACGAAAAGCTGTGGTACATTTACACCAGGGAATACTACACAGCTGTAAAAAAGAAGGATCTCTTACCCTTTGAGACAGCATGGAGGGACTTGGAGAGTCTGATGCTAAGCAAAATAAGCCAGTCAGAGAAAGATAAGTATCACATAATCTCACTCATATGTGGAATCTAATGAACAAAACAAACTGATGAACAAAGAGATCCAGAGACATAGAAGCATGGAACAGACTGAGGAATCTTAGGTGGAAGGTGGGGGTGGTTGGGTGTGTGGAAGAGATTAACTGGGAAACACATGCATATGTGCATAGCCCATG